TAATTATAATGCTTCTGGTAAAAGGCATCACAATTACACAAGTGTTACAAACATACAAACAAACATGACATGCACAATTTTACAGACTAGATTATATCACGCAGCAAGTAGTTATAGTCACAGTAAGTTAAACGAACAGTTGGCTTTTTACCTAGGATAACCCACAAAAGTTAAAATAAAATGTATTTCCAATGAGGTCCATAATTAAACATAATATATATGATAATTAATTGATAAAATTTTTATAGCAAACAAGATATCTTTAAAATTTAAACTGTTTTGGATGCAGAACAACTTTTATAATGAAATCAAAGTACTGGAAGTACTCCAGACACATGCACTTCCGAATGCATAATTATGACTGTTGCAATATCTCCTTAGTGTCTATTGGTGGAGGGTGAAACATGTATTTCCAACAGACTAGCAGCAGTGCACGTGTGTCACAAATGTCTTTAGGTCAACTAGGATTTTGCCATGGGTCATATGTCAGTATATACTTCTTCGTATGATTATGTTAATGGTAACAGCATGAAACTTAAATAGATTCCTATATCCCCCCTCCGGGCACCGGGTGGGGACTAATTAACATTGTGTCATAAAACAACAATCTCACTGAAAAAATGTAGTAATTGTAATGGCGGACCATTACAGAAAAGAATAGCAATGCCATAAAACACCTACAATGTACTTAAGCGGTTGAATTTGCAGTTCCCAGGTGTAATACCCCTAAGTACTAATTTTCATCAAAATCAAACAATATCTAAATTTCGACCAATCAGAGGCCTCCTTGTGGTTGCTGTGTGGTTGCTATGACAACGAAACCTATGGGGTTTAATTTGCAGTCCACCAATCCTTGTTTATACCAATTTTCATCAAAATCGAACAATATCTAAATTTCGACCAATCAGAAGCCTCCATGCTGTGTGGTTGTTATGCCAACGATCTAAAAAAATAAAGACTAGAATGCACAACTACATAAATGCCCTTTATTAATCATGTGAAGTTTCATCAAGATATGCCTTGCGGTTTCCGAGAAAAGGGTCAGTCAAGTTCACGACTGAAGAAGAAGAAGAAGAAAGAAAAATAATTGAACATAATATATATAATATTAATAAAAAGAAATAGCAAACAAAATTCCAACTGTTTTGGATGCAGAACAACTTTTACAGTGAAAAAAATCTACATGAGTACTATGAGACATTCTTGCTTTTGGGGTAATTCCACATTTTATCCGAACGTCTGCTCGTCAAATCCTTGGCAGAGTCCATTTTTAAAAAGTCTTTATCATGAATAAACTTATTGCTTTTATTTTCCCTCCCAGATCAAATGATCAAATGACCTGACGTTTGGTCATCAACTTTTTTGGCAGCCATTTTTGAGTCAGAGTGACTAATCCACAAACAGAGGTGGTCCAGAGTTGTTCTGAATAAGAATAATCTATTCTATTTTCGGTCCGGATCAGTACGATTTGTTGATTAGTCACTCCCGTGTTATACAAAATGGCGTCACTCAGGGGGTAAATTTTGAAAGATTACACACTGAGGACTCTACTGAGGAAATGTGTAGCAGCTGTTGGTGATAATCTATGCGGCTTTGGATCAATAAATACCCCATTCAGCGATGTATGTGAGGTATGTGTTTTGTCAAAGCAGAATTTTGTTGTCACCCCCTCAAAACTTAGCGCAGGGCCAGGGTCGAAACAGGGGTTCGTTACAAATGTCTAAAATACACATGCTATACTGACATGAGTCATAGGGGTTTGTTCAAATGTCTGAAATACACAAATGCTTTACTGACATGGGTTACAGCACCTGTAAACATACACTATGTGCTATGACCCATATCAGTATATACATGTCAATAGACATTTGCAACAAACCCCTGTGAATAGTGGAAATATTTAGTTGTAAATATTTCTCCTTCTATAGAATTGAAGGATTTTAACCAAATTTGGGCAAAGATTTGTCAGATACTCTTTTTTTTTTATCTGAGTTTGAACTGGATCTTCAAACTTCTTTCTTTGGAAGTGATGATAGAAGCAAACACAAAAGGTACCACTCAATCAAAGCAATAAGTGTTTTTTTATATCTACAAAATCCAGATTTTTAGATGATGGTGGGCTATTCAAATCACCTTGCGTTCGTGGTCCATTGTCCGTCCTTAAACAAATCTTGTTATCGGTATTTCTCAAGAAGAACCTGAGGGTTTCTTTTTCAAATTTTATATGTAGGTTCCCCTTGGTCCTAAACTGTGCAGGGCAACATTTGAGACTGATTGGATGAACAACATGGCCGACAGGCAGCCATCTTGGATTTTGATAGTGAAAGTTTGTTATCGCTATTTCTCAAGATGTACAAGAGGGATCTTTCTCAACTTTTAAATGTAGGTTCCCTTTGGTACTTAGCTGTGCAGGGCAACTTTTTAGACTGATCGGATAAACAACATGGCCGGCAGGAATCCATCTTGGATTTTGATATTGAAAGTTTGTTATCGCTATTTCTCAAGAAGCACCTGAGGGTTTCTTTCTCAAATTTTATATGTAGGTTCCCCTTGGTCCTAAGCTGTGCATGCAGGGCAACATTTGAGACTGATCGGATGAACAACATGGCCGACAGGCAGCCATCTTGGAATTTGATTGTGTAGGTTTGTTACTGCTATTTCTCCAGAAGAATGAGAGGGATCTTTCTTAAATTTTATATGTAGGTTCCCCTTGGTCCTAGCTGTGCAGGGCAACTTTTGAGACTGATAGGATAAACAACATGGCCGACAGGCAGCCATCTTGGATTTTGATATTGAAAGTTTGTTATCGCTATTTCTCAAGAAGCACCTGAGGGATCTTTCTCAAATTTTATATGTAGGTTCCCCTTAGTCCATAGCTGTGCAGGGCAATTTTAGAGACTGATCGGATGAACAACATGGCCGACAGGCAGCCATCTTGGAATTTGATTGTGTAGGTTTGTTACTGCTATTTCTCTGGAAGAACGAGAGGGATCTTTCTTAAATTTTATATGTAGGTTCCCCTTGGTCCTAGCTGTGCAGGGCAACTTTTGAGACTGATCGGATAAACAACATGGCCGACAGGCAGCCATCTATGATTTTGATATTGAAAGTTTGTTATCGCTATTTCTCAAGAAGTTCCAGAGGGATCTTCCCAAATGCTATATGTAGGTTCCTCTTGGTCTTTAGCTGAGCAGGGCAACTTTTGAGACTGATCAGATAAACAACATGGCCGACAGGCAGCCATCTTGGATTTTGATAGTGAATGTTTGTTACCGCCATTTCTCAAGAAGTACTAGAGGGATCTTTCTCAAAGTTCATATGTAGGTTCCTCTTGGTCCTTAGCTGTGCAGGGCAACTTTTGAGACTGATCGGATAAACAACATGGCCGACAGGCAGCCATCTTGGATTTTGATATTGAAAGTTTGTTATCGCTATTTCTCAAGAAGCACCAGAGGGATCTTTCTCAAATTTTATATGTAGGTTCCCCTTAGTCCATAGCTGTGCTATTTTGATAGTGAAAGTTTGTTATTGCTATTTCTCGGGAAATACGGAAGGGATCTTAATTTCTAATTTTAAATGTAGGTTCCCGTTGATCCCTCGTTGTGCATGTTATATTTTGAGACTGATCATAAAAACAAAATGGATTAAAAGAAGAACTAAACAGATCTTTCTCATATTGCAATGATCGATTCTATTTCTTTCACATTAAGTACTGTACTAGTAAATATGTGAAATGACAAACTCACTTTGAAGGTTGGCTTTCATACACATCAGTATTAAGTTTAGATCAGAAGTTACCTCATGGTGCATTTACTGTTAACAGGACTCGATCAAACAGATTAGAGGAAAGAAGAGAAAAGATTGAACTGACAAAGAACTAATGAAGATGGTACAATGGTGGGCGCCAAGATCCCTCTGGGATCTCTTGTTTTGTCTGTCACAGATTTACCATTCACATTTCAAAATCCCAGTAGTGGGGCTTCTGGAGAAGAAACAGTACCTTTCCAGGGAAACCACACACTGGAGACCCGAATTCCCAGTATGGGAGCATTTTTACCTGAAAAAGATGATTTAAGGTTCATCACATTGCCTTTTCTGCATTGTGGCATCAGACTTTTCCAAATTCCAGACGTCACATCATTGTTGAGCAGTTGTGATATCATGTCACGTGAAATTGGGTGTAATATAGAAATTTCTTACACCCCTTTCTTACCCTAGACAGCTCTATCTTGCACACGGCATGGAGAGAAAAAGTTGTTTGTCACAGCAATCACAATATCGAATAAATTAATCACAAAATTGAGAAAAGGTGGTGATCCTCGCCTCTAGTAAAATAACTTTTGTATGGTGAATCAAAGAATTTTCATTGCTTGATGTATGTTTCAGTTTAAAAACTATGTAAATTACATTTTCAAAATAAAAGTTGAGTATTTGGTCAAAACATTGGACCTTTTTAATGATAAAAATAACATGACTATGTTTTATAGAATGTACCGTCTGACAATATATTCGATATAGATTAATGATTGAATTTTCATCTGAATGAGACCGTCTTCTCCTGTTTACTTACTCCAGGACTGTACAGTGATCACCTCCTAGGTCAATATCATGGTTCTATAGTTGATGGTTCTATAGCTTTGCGAAGTTGCCAGATGGACTTTTATGCTTATTGATATGGAACATGACTAACAGGAATTTTCCAATTAAGGGAGAGGTTGATGTGAAATGTAAATATTAAATAACATGTAGCAGTATGATGGGACAAGATACTTGTGTATTATCTGTTGGTTTTCTGTGAGGAAATGAGAACTTGAGCATACACGTATCTCCAGGGACAGTACCTACCGACTGTCACATCCGAGGTGAGCGACACAACGCTTGTATAAACAGGATATAAGGCTATGTATAGATGTGATAATGTGAATTAAAATTTAAAGTTCTGTCACAGTTTCCTGAAGGTGTATAGGGCTATCAATTTACTCGGTATATATAGGTATACAGTGTAGCTGATGCAGGACATTCTCTGTGGCAAGCGTTCTAGATACATCTCACGAATCTGTAACGCAACACTGATCAAAATACAGTGTCTGAGGGAAAGTCCTTGAGCTGTACAGGATTTTACTTTTGGCTTAGTCACTCTTTTTCTTGGGGATTTGAGAACAGACGTTAAAAATGGATCTTCAGATTTCAACTAGCAAAGTTCAACAGTTGAAGGACATTGCCAACAAACTGAGGATTCATAGCATCAATAGCACAGATGCTGCAGGCACAGGGTAAGGGCACTGTTGTGTTGTAAACACAGGGTAAGGGCAATGTTGTGTTGTAAACACAGGGTAAGGGAACTGTTGTGTTGTAAACACAGGGCAAGGGGACTGTTGTGTTGTAAACACAGGGCAAGGGGACTGTTGTGTTGTAAACACAGGGCAAGGGGACTGTTGTGTTGTAAACACAGGGCAAGGGGACTGTTGTGTTGTAAACACAGGGCAAGGGCAATGTTGTGTTGTAAACACAGGGTAAGGGAACTGTTGTGTTGTAAACACAGGGCAAGGGGACTGTTGTGTTGTAAACACAGGGCAAGGGGACTGTTGTGTTGTAAACACAGGGCAAGGGCACTGTTGTGTTGTAAACACAGGGTAAGGTCACTGTTGTGTTGTAAACACATGGTAAGGGCACTGTTGTGTTGTAAACACAGGGCAAGGGCAGTGTTGTGTTGTAAACACAGGGTTAGGGCACTGTTGTATTGTAAACACAGGGTAAGGGCACTGTTGTGTTGTAAACAGGGTAAGGGCACTGTTGTGTTGTAAACACCGGGAAAGGGCACTGTTGTGTTGTAAACACAGGGCAAGGGCACTGTTGTGTTGTAAACACAGGGTAAGGGCACTGTTGTGTTGTAAACACAGGGTAATGGCAATGTTGTGTTGCAAACACAGGGAAAGGGCAGTGTTGTGGTGAAAACACAGGGTAAGGGCACTGTTGTGTTGTAAACACAGGGTAATGGCAATGTTGTGTTGTAAACACAAGGTAAGGGCACTGTTGTGTGGTAGACACAGGGTAAGGGGGCTGTTGTGTTGTAAACACAGGGTAAGGGCACTGTTGTGTTGTAAACACAGGGTAATGGCAATGTTGTATTGTAAACACAGGGTAAGGGCACTGTTGTGTGGTAGACACAGGGTAAGGGGGTGTTGTGTTGTAGACACAGAGTAAGGGCACTGTTGTGTTGTTATCACATACATGTGTATGTGTTATATAAAAATACAATTCTGGATTGGAAAATGTTTGAAAAATAATTAATTCTGGCCATAAGCGGCCTTCGTTAACTATTTTTTCCAACATTTTCTCACCTTCGTTCCACCATATTACAGTCACCGATATGTATTATTTCTTAAATACTAACATATGACATTTGTCTTCATGTTCACATGAGCTCTCCATGTTGTTGACTGCTGGTGACATATCAAAAAGTATCCCCCATTTTTACAGTGGATCAAAGTACTACATGACATGTGTACCTGATTGGTTTTTGAAAATGTTTCTCTAAAATTTTCTCATTAACTTGCAAGTTTGCATCCTGTTAAAATATAACTTCAGGTTCATATTCCCTGAAGCAAATAAAATATCAGATTGTTGACACATTAATAGTATAAGTTTTGACACAGTTGATAGATCCTATAAGTTGTTAGACTTTTATGTAGAAGCTTACAGATTTTAGTGGTGTATATAAAATTATCGTAATGATACCTGAAATTGGTCTAAGTGCTTACTCAGGTACATTACTTTTATTTCACTAACATCTGAAATATTTGCAATACCAGGGTATATATTTAACTAAAATGTGTGCGTGCTTTTGAGAAACTGGTAAATAGGATACTTCTAAAGTCACTGGACTGCATCATTTAGATGTAAGTGAGTCTCGTGCCAAATTAAAGGTAACAAGGGTTTACTTTTTACTATTTTATACATTTTTATATTTTTGTGCAGTCAGTTAAAATGCTACATGTACATTGAAAGGAAAATTTCTTTCATGAAGGAGGATTGTCTTGGATCTTTTATAATGTTTTCGTAGTTTTCTATTGAGTGGTTTTCGAGATATTATGGTTAATTTTAGAAATAAATTTTACAATAAATCTTTGGTATGATCAAAAACGCAATCAATGACAACAAAGAAATATTATAGAAAAATGATTGAAAAAAAGGCAAATGCATGAAATATTACACAGATTGAAAAAAAATACCTTGTGACATTATAAATTTGCGTGGGACTATATTTGTGGATCACTTGTCAAGTTAATGTATATGTGTCGTGAGAAACTACAAGGTCAGCTGTATCTTCCTTCAGATGTATCATAATTACCCTGTTTACTTTTCGTGACAAAGTCAATCATAGGTAAAATGTGGTGTAAAATTTCCCTTTTAAGCTCATTTAATCCTTTGACATTGTAATCAATCTGTTGTTTGTGATGTTTCTTTACTTTTCTCATTTTCATCTTTTCTAACAACAGTTTGCTTAATTTTAACTCACGTTTTCTGCACATGGTGGAGCTGATGTCTATATGAGGGGCTGAAAGAAGGACCAAAATCTGGTCTTTTCAGAGTTCCCAAGTTCAGCATATACATTGTACTAGTCTATATGTGATGGGAAATTTTCATATCAGTACTGATACTTGTAATTGCAAAATCTTTTAAATATTGATAATATCATCATATCGGGGGGAAACTGTAGATTTTGGCTTATTTTACTCCCACTAACACCATTTGAGCTACAGTATTTTACTTGTAACCATGGGGTTGGTTGATTTAGCTTGTAATATGGAGTTGATGGTTGTAATTGGGGATTGATGGGGTTAATTTGTAATCAGGCTGTTGGTTGATTTGATTCATATTCATGGTTGTTGGTAGATATAATAAAATTATTGGATGTAGTTATTAATCAGAGGTATGTAGGCATCAGTTTTCACAAGGATTGCATACATTATCATATGAACCTGCCATATGTCATGATTTTGGCAAGACTGTCTCTATTTTTTTTATCCTTTTGGCCTCTCAGTAATAATCCTATGGGACCTTCATTTTCAAACATCTCAAAACACGAAAATGCTGGACACCAAATCTTTCCTATGAAAATGACTAACATGACAGTCCAATGACCTCGTGGGAACAGATCCTGCATACTTTAATTTTTTTAATTACAATTAATTTATAAATTGTTAACGGCATTTATTTTGCATTTAGCACTATTGTCACTCATATTTGTCAAACAGCACGCAAATGTACATTTTTAAACGAACGCTTAAATGTCAATGATTAGGTAAAAACGTCATCTTCTGAGAAAGAGAAGCGGCGATTGGTACACCCATTTCTATTGACATTATGTACTTTTGGATAACATATCAACCGTTTTCTTGGTTAAAGCGTTGATCGTAGCTCCCCCCCCCCCTCTGAATAATAGTTATTGTCTCGCTTCGCCGCCTCCTCGAATCTAGACTTAGGTGTTGCTTTTCCGGCGACGGCTTCAACATTAAGTTTTTGCATTTAAGCCAACCAAACTTGGACCATAGATGCATCTGAGGTAGTACATCTCAACCCATGCATCAAATGCGTGATGCGGCCTACCTTTCATGGTCCATTGACTTTGTCAGCATCTCCCTCAACATTAAGTTTTTAGGTCACCTGAGCTTTAGCTCAAGTGACCTATTGCTATCCGTTTTCGTCCGTCGTCGTCCGTCGTCCGTTAACATTTTACATTTCAAACTTAAAGTCAAGTTCTGCTGGGCCGATTGAACTGAAAGTTGATAGGAATGATCGCCTCATGGTCCTGACAAAGTGTTGTTATTTTTCGGGTCGATCAGAAATCCAATATGGCCGCCACGGCCGCCATTTTGAAAACCTATTTCAAACTTAAAGTCAAGTTCTGCTGGACCGATTGAACTGAAAGTTGGTAGGAATGATCGCCTCATGGTCCTGACAAAGTGTTGTTATTTTTCGGGTCGATCAGAAATCCAATATGGCCGCCACGGCCGCCATTTTGAAAACCTATTTCAAACTTAAAGTCAAGTTCTGCTGGACCGATTGAACTGAAAGTTGGTAGGAATGATCGCCTCATGGTCCTGACAAAGTGTTGTTATTTTTCGGGTCGATCAGAAATCCAATATGGCCGCCACGGCCACCATTTTGAAAACCTATTTCAAACTTAAAGTCAAGTTCTGCTGGACCGATTGAACTGAAAGTTGGTAGGAATGATCGCCTCATGGTCCTGACAAAGTGTTGTTATTTTTTGGGTCGATCAGAAATCCAATATGGCCACCACGGCCGCCATTTTGAAAACCTATTTCAAACTTAAAGTCAAGTTCTGCTGGACCGATTGAACTTAAAGTTTGTAGGAATGATCGACTCATGGTCCTGACAAAGTGTTGTTATTTTTCAGGTCAATCATAAATCCAATATGGCCGCCACGGCCACCATTTTGAAAACATATTTCAAACTTAAAGTCAAGTTCTGCTAGGCCGATTGAACTGAAACTTTGTAGGAATGATTGACTCATGGTCCTGACAAAGTGTTGTTATTTTTCAGGTCGATCAGAAATCCAATATGGCCACCACAGCTGCCATTTTGGTAAACTATTTCAAACTTAAAGTAAAGATCTACTTGGCCGATTGAACTGAAACTTTGTAGGAATGATCGAATCATGGTCCTGACAAAGTGTTGTTATTTTTCGGGTCAATCAGAAATACAATTTGGCTGCCATGGCCGCTATTTTGCTACTAAGTTCTAATAGGCCGATCTCACTTAAAATTGGTCTAGGAATGATCAGCTCATGGTCCTGACAAAGTTAAGTTAACATTATACTATTTTTTACTCAAATTGGTACATATTTCAACAACAAAAATAAATACTATAGACTCAGGTGACCGTTAAGGCCCATGGGCCTCTTGTTGCTTTTAAGTTAGTTTCTCTGATATGTGCATTAATTGTCAAAGCAGGGCATCATAGGCGAGACATATTAATCTGAATGGTTACTTTTCAAAACTGTTACGAAGACACATTTTGCCACAACACTGGTTTTTTGGTTATCACATATTCGTTTTATACAAGTGTAATGAGTAATTCATATTGAACGGGAAAAATATTGCTACATCAAAAACGCGCGGGAATGTGTAGCATATTTTTTTATGCCAAGTTCTTATGACGTCACTCTTGACAACATTACCGAGCGCCATTTTGAATGTGTTTTACTGCAAATTTGTCGTTTGCTGCTATTATCTGGTCAGATTTCCAGACAAAAATGATATTATAATAGTGTAGTTATGTTAAAACAATAATGTATGGTGCATAGGTGAAACACACAACCATTTATTCTGCCGACGCTTCATCTAAACTTGAAACTGAAAATCTACGCAGAGAATAGAATGTACAGTTCAGATTGGACCATACTAGGAGTGACATCTTTATGTGTGAAGATAAAATATTTTGTATATCTTCACTGCATTATGATATGTTTTTATCCAATGGAAAATTCATGATATTTCAACTAATAATTACAGATACCGTAGGATTTACTATCATATTTTTTAAAACAGTATGCAGCCTTTTTCTTAATTTGATACGTAAAAGACAGCAGGCTTGAACTGAATCATGTCTTCAGCACGATGTATGCTTATTATTATAATGCTAGGGTGAGAAAAATATGAAAGTTACAGAGTTGCATAGTGACAGGCACCAGAAACTATCTGTCACAGAAGGTTGTTTTCTGAAATTTTATTACCGAACACAGGTTAACTTCCTACTCAAAGATCACTTCATACATAATATGCTGGTATCCAAAATGTTGTAGCAATTCAAAAATTGACCAAAAATTATTTGCATACTTAAGGGCAAAAACTGTTAACATCGTGCAAGTTTTCATTCCTAATCTTTTAATTATTGATATGCATGTGCATCATGGTCAAAATTTGTGTTGTATACCACAATGGGTTCATCGCAGCTTATGCTTGGTATATAAAAACATGTGATGCAGCTGTATCCGTGAAGCCCTTGCATCTAGTAAAATCTATAATCCCTATAAGAGAGCATAGACATTAAGTAGTATTGCCTTCATAATTAAGCCATCCTTAAAAAAAATGTTGTTTGCAGTTTTTCCAACCGACTAACCCACCCAAAATGACACAATCAGACTGGTTTTTTTTTTTTTAATTTGAAAAAAATGTCTCATTTTATATAGAAATGCGGTAGTTCTAGAAATGAAAACAAACCCTCCCTACCTACCTACTGAAAAATATTTGAGTAGGGACACAGCAAACATTTTACAAGGTATATGTGATTATTTGGGGATGAGATGTCGTTGTCACCACTTTCTGCCGGCTCATATTCTTGTATATGTTAATGTAGCTGTTAACTTTCCTCCAGTGTACACCTGGTATTTAAAACCTCCATTATATAACAATGACAAAGGTATCGGGTCACCTTCTCTCGAGTTTCCTCCCACACTAAGACCTCGCGCGCGCTGACATCCGGCCCAACAAGAAAGATTAATATAAGTTGAAATAACGTGTTTATAATTGTTGTAAAATACATAAAGTTTATATATTGATATAACAATGACATGTTTTAGCGAGCCACCAAAGACAGAATGACAATAGACAGAAAAGTTATTGAAATTTTTTAAGAAATTGGAGGATTTCCAGCCTACAGCACAACTAGATGATATTGTGTTTTTATCAGACACAGTGCTGAATAATGGTATTACTTGTGTGTCAAGCTTGTGTAAAAAGATTACATAAATATCCATTTTAAATTGATTTTTGAGCTTTGATGATCTGTCTATTCAATTATGCAGTATATGGATGATCATGACAAAAGAGACGGACATGTTTGGTTCAGAGATTACTGGTTTCTTATCTGAAAAAACAAGCATGGGGAATGGAATTAAATTCAAATTTTGCTTTTTCGTATAAGAAAGCAAAGAGGAATTTGAATACCCAATTTTTATTTTCCCTTTCATCCTGAAATTCTTGCAAGTTTATAAATTTCAGCTGGAAAGTGAACAAGCCTTCACACAAATACTCATTTCTTTGAGCTGAAAGTTACAAACAAGCAGTGTAAATGTTCCCTTATAGGCACAATACACTCATATTTCCACATATACCTGGTGTCATCATGAAATGTACCTCCTGCATAAAAGGTATAAGGACTCTTGGAGGGGGGTAAATTTTATGCATAACAATTTTTCAATTTACATGCATCATGATTAAAAGCAAAATCTATATATAACATATAGTAATGCTGTGATTTTAGTTCTGCGAATATCAATTTAATGCTTTTATTAATAGCACAAAGGTTTTGAAATATTATTACAGTTAAAAGATGAACATTTATAGGCCTACATTGTTCCTTTACCAGAAATTCCTTAAGACTGTTTTTTTCAGAGAGCATGACTGAAGTTAACGAAAAAAGAAAAGACATTTTTCTTTAACTTCAAAATGCTTTTCTGTTGAAACGTTAAGGTGAGGATAGTAAAGGAGCACATGTGAAACTTGGGCCTATGGCTGAGTCAGATGTCATTCTTTGAATCTAAATCTAAACAGTTTATGTATCATAACTAGCTATAATGATCAACTAATAAAATGTTGCACATTACTGCCAGTTGCTTTTTGATTCCTTGCAAATCTGTTCATGAATTCACCATTCATATTTGTCACAACAATAAAATGTGCAATAATGTAAAAAGTAAGCTAGCAAGATTAAATCTATTGTAAACATCCCCTCCTTCTTGTTACAGACATCCATCATCATGTATGTCCATGGCAGAGATTATGTCCGTCCTCTTCTTCAACACCATGAGGTACAGTCTTAAGGAGCCACGTGGTCCCTCCAATGACCGTTTCATCTTGTCCAAGGTAGGTAACTCTCAAATGACCGTTTCATCTTGTCTAAGGTAGATAACTCTCCAATGACCATTTCATCTTGTCCAATGTAGGTAACTCTTCAGCAACTGTTTCCTCTAATCCAAGATAGGTAACTTTCAAATGATCATTTCATCATGTCAATTAGGCAAGAAGTTCAAAAATGAATGCTCCATCTTGTCTGAGGTATGTAACTCTCCAATGTTACTCTCCACAGAGTGCTTCATCTTTTCTGAGGTAGGTAACTCTCCACAGAGTATTTTATCTTGTCTGGGGTAGGTAACTCTCCACAGAGTGTTTTATCTTGTCTGGGGTAGGTAACTCTCCACAGAGTGTTTTATCTTGTCTGGGGTAGGTTACTCTCCACAGAGTGTTTCATCTTGTTTGGGGTAGGTAACTCTCCACAGAGTGTTTTATCTTGTCTGGGGTAGGTAGCTCTCCACAGAGTGTTTCATCTTGTCTGGGGTAGGTAACTCTCCACAGAGTGGGTTATCTTGTCTTGGGTAGGTAACTCTCTACAGAGTGTTTTATCTTGTCTGGGGTAGGTAGCTCTCCACAGAGTGTTTCATCTTGTCTGGGGTAGGTAACTCTCCACAGAGTGTTTTATCTTATCTCGGGTAGGTAACTCTCCACAGAGTGTTTTATCTTATCTCGGGTAGGTAACTCTCCACAGAGTGTTTTATCTTGTCTGGGGTAGGTAACTCTCCACAGAGTGGTTTATCTTGTCTTGGGTAGGTAACTCTCTACAGAGTGTTTTATCTTGTCTGGGGTAGGTAACTCTCCACAGAGTGTTTCATCTTGTCTGGGGTAGGTAACACTCCACAGAGTGTTTCATCTTGTCTGGGGTAGGTAACTCTCCCCAGAGTGTTTTATCTTGTCTGAGGTAGGTAACTCTCCACAGAGTGTTTGATCTTGTCTGGGGTAGGTAACTCTCCACAGAGCGTTTCATCTTGTCTGAGGTAGGTAACTCTCCACAGAGTGTTTGATCTTGTCTGGGGTAGGTAACTCTCCACAGAGCGTTTCATCTTGTCTGAGGTAGGTAACTCTCCACAGAGTTTTTCATCTTGTCTGGGGTAGGTAACTCTCCATAGAGTGTTTTATCTTGTCTGAGGTAGGTAACTCTCCACAGAGGGTTTCATCTTGTCTGGGGTAGGTAACTCTCCCCAGAGTGTTTTATCTTGTCTGAGGTAGGTAACTCTCCACAGAGGGTTTCATCTTGTCTGGGGTAGGTAACTCTCCATAGAGTGTTTTATCTTGTCTGAGGTAGGTAACTCTCCACAGAGGGTTTCATCTTGTCTGGGGTAGGTAACTCTCCCCAGAGTGTTTTATCTTGTCTGAGGTAGGTAACTCTCCACAGAGTGTTTAATCTTGTCTGAGGTAGGTAACTCTCCACAGAGTTTTTCATCTTGTCTGGGGTAGGTAACTCTCCACAGAGTGTTTCATCTTGTCTGGGGTAGGTAACTCTCCAATGACCGTTTCATCTTGTCCAAGGTAGGTAACTCTTCAGCAACTGTTTCCTCTAATCCAAGATAGGAAACTTTCAAATGATCATTTCATCATGTCAATTAGGCAAGAAGTTCAAAAATGAATGCTACATCTTGTCTGAGGTATGTAACTCTCCAATGTAACTCTCCACAGAGTGCTTCATCTTTTCTGAGGTAGGTAACTCTCCACAAAGTGTTTCATCTTGTCTGAGGTAGGTAACTCTCAACAGAGTGTTTTATTTTGTCTGGGGTAGGTAACTCTCCACAGAGTGGTTTATCTTGTCTGAGGTAGGTAACTCTCCACAGAGTGTTTAATCTTGTCTGAGGTAGGTAACTCTCCACAGAGTGTTTTATCTTGTCTGGGGTAGGTAACTCTCCACAGAGTAGGTAACTCAACAGTGTTTCATCTTGTCTGAGGTAGGTAACTCCTACTGAGTGTTTCATCTTGTCTAAGGTAGGTAACTCTCCACAGAGTAGGTAACTCTTAACAGTGTTTTATCTTGTCTGGGGTAGGTTACTCTCCACAGAGTGTTTTATCTTGCCTGGGGTAGGTTACTCTCCACAGAGCGTTTTATCTTGTCTGGGATAGGGAACTCTCCACAGAGTGTTTTATCTTGTCTGAGGTAGGTAACTCTCCACAGAGTGTTTCATCTTGTCTGAGGTAGGTAACTATCCACAGAGTGTTTCATCTTGTCTGAGGTAGGTAACTCTCCACAGAGTGGTTTATCTTGTCTTGGGTAGGTAACTCTCTACAGAGTGGTTTATCTTGTCTGGGGTAGGGAACTGTCCACAAAGTGTTTTATCTTGTCTGTGGTAGGTAACTCTCCACAGAGTGTTTTATCTTGTCTAGGGTAGGTAACTCTCCACAGAGGGTTTTATGTTGTCTGGGATAGGTAACCTCCACAGAGTGGTTTATCTTGTCTTGGGTAGGTAACTCTCTACAGAGTGGTTTATCTTGTCTGGGGTAGGGAACTGTCCACAAAGTGTTTTATCTTGTCTGTGGTAGGTAACTCTCCACAGAGTGTTTTATCTTATCTGGGGTAGGTAACTCTCCACAGAGAGTTTTATCTTGTCTGGGATAGGTAACTCTCCACAGAGGGTTTTATCTTGTCTGGGATAGGTAACTCTCTACAGAGGGTTTTATCTTGTCTGGGGTAGGTAAATCTCCACAGAGGGTTTCATCTTGTCTGAGGTAGGTAACTCCTACTGAGTGTTTTATCTTGTCTAAGGTAGGTAACTCTCCACAGAGGAGGTAACTCTTAACAGTGTTTTATCTTGTCTGGGGTAGGAAACTGTCCACAAAGTGTTTTATCTTGTCTGTGGTAGGTAACTCTCCACAGAGTGTTTCATCTTGTCTGGGGTAGGTAACTCTCTACAGAGTGTTTTCTCTGGTCTGGGGTAGGTAACCCTCCACAGAGTGGTTTATCTTGTCTTGGGTAGGTAACTCTCTACAGAGTGTTTTATCTTGTCTGGGGGAGGTAACTCTCCACAGAGTGTTTTATCTTGTCTGGGGTAGGTAACTGTCCACAAAGTGTTTTATCTTGTCTGGGGTAGGTAACTCTCCACAGAGTGTTTTATCTTGTCTGGGATAGGTAACTCTCTACAGAGTGTTTTATCTTGTCTGGGGTAGGTAACCCTCCACAGAGTGTTTCATCTTGTCTGGGGTAGGTAACTCTCCACAGAGTGTTTCATCTTGTCTGAGGTAGGTAACTATCCACAGAGTGTTTCATCTTGTCTGGGGTAGGTAACTCTCAACAGAGTGTTTCATCTTGTCTGAGGTAAGTATCTCTGCACAGAGTGTTTCATCTTGTTCAATGAAGGTCCACAGACCTTTTCAAGATGTCCAAGGTAGGTAACTCTCCCAAGACCTTTTTATTTTGTCCAAGGAAGGTAACTCTTCATAGACTGCTTCATCTTGTCCAAGGTAGGTAATTCTTCATAGTCTGCTTTATCTTGTCCAAGGTAGGTAACTCTTCATAGTCTGCTTCATCTTGTCCAAGGTAGGTAAGTCTTCATAGTCTGCTACATCGGTAACTCTTCATAGTCTGCTTCATCTTGTCCAAGGTAGGTAACTCTTAATAGTCTGCTTCATCTTGTCCAAGGTAGGAAACTTTCCAAAGACTGCTTCATCTTGTCGAAGGTAGGTAACTCTTCATAGTCTGCTTTATATTGTCCAAGGTAGGTAACTATCCAAAGACTGCTTCATCTTGTCCAAGGTAGGTAACTCTTCATAGTCTGCTTCATCTTGTCCAAGGTAGGTAACTTTCCGAAAACTGCTTCATCTTGTCCAAGGTAGGTAACTCTTCATAGTCTGCTTCATCTTGTCCAAGGTAGGTAACTCTCCAAAGACTGCTTCATCTTGTCCAAGGTAGGTAACTCTTCATAGTCTGCTTCATCTTGTCCAAGGTAGGTAACTTTCCAAAGACTGCTTCATCTTGTCCAAGGTAGGTAACTCTTCATAGTCTGCTTCATCTTGTCCAAGGTAGGTAACTTTCCAAAGACTGCTTCATCTTGTCCAAGGTAGGTAACTCTTCATAGTCTGCTTCATCTTGTCCAAGGTAGGTAACTTTCCAAAGACTGCTTCATCTTGTCCAAGGTAGGTAACTCTTCATAGTCTGCTTCATCTTGTCCAAGGTAGGTAACTTTCCAAAGACTGCTTCATCTTGTCCAAGGTAGGTAACTCTTCATAGTCTGCTTCATCTTGTCCAAGGTAGGTAACTTTCCGAAGACTGCTTCATCTTGTCCAAGGTAGGTAACTCTTCATAGTCTGCTTCATCTTGTCCAAGGTAGGTAACTCTCCATAGTCTGCTTTATCTTGTCCAAGGTAGGTAACTATCCAAAGACTGCTTCATCTGGTCCAAGGTAGGTAACTCTCCAAAGACTGCTTCATCTTGTCCAAGGTAGGTAACTCTCCAAAGACTGCTTCATCTTGTTCAAGGTAGGTAACTCTTCATAGTCTGCTTCACCTTTTCCATGGTAGGTAACTCTCCAAAAACTGCTTCATCTTGTCTAAGGTAGGTAACTCTCCAAAGACTGCTTCATCTTGTCCAAGGTAGGTAACTCTCCAAAGACGGCTTCATCTTGTCCAAGGTAGGTAACTCTTCATAGTCTGCTTCATCTTGTCCAAGGTAGGTAACTCTCCAAAGACTGCTTTATTTTGTCAAAGGTAGGTAACTCTCCAAAGACTACTTCATCTTGTCCAAGGTAGGTAACTCTCCAAAGACTGCTTCATCTTATCTCCTTCGCATCATACTTACCTGCTAGGTTGAACAACTACATATGGCTAACTCCACTTTCGCAATAATTACCCGCCAAGAATAAAAATTAACGCTCCCCTGGTCATGCCTATGACTGGTCCCTCGCGCATGCGCAACCATCTTTTTTCTTGGCGGCCATTTTCAATAGCTGCCTTTCCACATTGCATTCGCATATTTCGGCATTTATACAAGTAAGTGTGTTATTTTGTCGTGTCTATTGTAGCGGAAGCCTGTTAGAGGGTTCCGCTGATTG